TCTGGGTTCATCTTGCCTCTCTTTGTATTGCTTTCTGGGAAGTTCCAAAGCCATTCTCCTCAGAGCAGTTGCTATGGACAGAGCACTCTTTTGACAATAGGTAGGATCCAATCTGGGGCTTTCCTCCTGACTATTCACCTCTCAGACAAAAGTAGGCAGATTTTGTGTTGCTCTGAAAAGAAATCCATTTTCAATCTGTAAAGTCTGCTCATTACATATTAGCCATATTTACTGATCTAGGAGTTTTTGTTTTTATTCCCCTTTTTACTGTGGGACAGGTGGAAGCTGTGGTACAAATTTAAAGTTTGCTGTCAGAGCAATGCTTTTGGGACAGACTCGGGGATTCCTGTCATCTTTGATTGAGATGATGTACATCACTGACTCCTATTGTCTGAAAGTTGCATGATCCTGAAGACTTTCCCCATGATAGAAACACAGAGATTAGTAAGTGATTAGGATGTTCTGCTACGTGAGCTCTGTAAGACACACCAACCCAGAATCTGCCTTTTCTGATGATCAACTTAGGGTTCGTCTTTTTTTCTTTCATCATCCAGAGAGAGGGAAGAGGGCTGGCTTTTCGGTAGATACTACCACTACTTGCTCTGCCCCCACCCCACCCCATTTATTATATAACTTCTAAGCATATCTCTACTCTATAAATAGTTTATTCTCTATTGAAGTATACTATTGGAAATATTCCTTTGTCTTTATTATCAAGGTTTTCTAAGGCATCATGGAGAATACTGGCCTCAAAGGACCTGGGTATGAGCCTCAGCTCTAATTTCTAGCTATGCAACAATGAGCAAATCAGTTAACCTCTCTGGCCCTCCCTGAGTTTCCCACTTGTAAAATGAGAGTGCCAATATTTGTATTCCTTTCTTCACAAGGTTGTTGTGGGGAAAGAGTTTTGCCAACCTCAAAGCAGTACATAAATGGGAGCTAGTCTGAGTTCCTTTGAGCTATGTTTTTCTTCTTCCTCAAAAGAAATAATGTTCTCTACTGTGTCTTTTTCTCTGTGTTGTTAACCTTATATATCTCTCATACAAATACAAAACTGTCCTTAATCTGGAAGGCTACATCTGTTGCAGATGAGAAAGATATAGAGAAATTCTGTGAAAAACTCAGTAAACTCTAAATCAACACATCAATATTTGGGGACTTCAATACCAAGTGAATATAGAGGAGGAAGGTTTTTTTAAAACTCCGAAAGCATGACTTGAGAGTATGAAATGAGACAGGATACTGAGGGATCAAATCAAAATAAATGAGAGCAAAAAATACTAAAGACCTGGGGGCTGGGGTAGAGAGGGGGTAATTACAGCCCTTATTCTTATCCCAAAAAGGGCAACTGAGAAATTTCAGTAACTACTCATCCACATGCTTACTTTTCCATCTCTACAAAGTCCTTATGAGAATAATATAAATATGTATTGAAGACATGCATGATGGAGGTTTGAGGAGAGAATAGAAAAGTTTGCGAATGATATCCTAGAGCAGACTACATCTTCCTAGTCACACAGTTGATGAAAAGAGAAATACAAGATTCCATTGTACTTATTGTATATTGACTATGAAAAAGCATTTGATCTAGTGGAACAAATGCACATTAAAGGCTCTCTTTGAACAAAGCACTTCCCAGTCAGATGTCAAAATCAGACTAGATTCCTTGAAAGACATAACAACTGTAGACATTAACTTTATTGAATGGCCCTCTGATCATTAACATCAAGTCAGGTTTAAAACAAGGAGCTAGTTGCCAAAGGGTCGTGGCAGATACCCAGGGAAGAGACCAAAAGGAAGAAGAATCCCCTGGAGATGGGGAGATCCTTCAGATATTCCTGTGTCCTGGATATTGTGCTGACTGCATCCAACTACAGAACACTAAAGGGCCTTCTTAGTGAGATCCGTAACTACTCAGAATTGGCCAGACTGTTCAATGAAAGAAACACCAAGTGAAAGAAGAATGCCGGAATGGCAGGCTATATTAGTCAGTTGGATAGATGACACATAGACTGGATGCAGCAGGGTACATGGATGTGTATAATGGTACATGGATGTATATAATAGTACATGGATGTGGATGTATATAATCGTACATGGATGTGTATAATCTATCAGTGATAATGTGTGTATGTGTGTGTGTGTGTGTGTGTGTGTGTGTGTGTGTGTGTATACACTAACTACTGATAGCCAGTGACAACAGCAATTGACCTCTGGGCCAAGCAATCTTGAACAGAGAAAAGAAAGCAAGTCTGATATACTGTCTGCAATATTGATGGAAGTGTATGTATGTATGTATGTATGTATGTATGTATGTATTGGACAGATACAAAATGGGCAATGAGCTGAATTGAAGAGGAGGAAAATGGACCAAACTACCTATGAAAAATTGTCAAGCCCTTTTAATGACCCCAAGCTTCTCCCTGAAACAAAGGCCCATATTGCTAATGATGTTGTAAGACTATGAATCATAGAACACTATAGTCCCTGAAGAATCTGAATTGTGGGTCACTCAAAGGGCAATAAAGAGGCATACAGTGGGCATGAGTACTCTGTGATGTATTACTGATGAGTAATTGCACAGGAGAAGTTGTGTCAAGGATGTCGTCAGAAAGATAAATTGTCAGAAAAGAAGGCAGCAGTGGGAGTGAGAGACAACCAATGAACAACCCATGTGCTCCTTTGCTATCCACACAGTGTCAAGGAATCTAGTGGGAGGCACTGAACACTGAAGATGAGGGAGAAGACGTGGATGAGAACTGCACAGGATGAGATGGGGTTAGGTTGTGTTCTATACAGCTGGAGGAAGTACCCACTGATCCATTGAAATATCTTCTACACATGAGAAGGCTCTGAATAAATTCTTATTAACTGACCATCTGATTTATAGTTTTATTGCTACTGATAATTAGCTCAACACTCCTAATATATTCAATATTTTTGGAATTCAGCCAGCACCAAAGCAACCAGAGATTCAGCAGTTTTAAATCATCCTCTGCCTTCATTTTTACAGACAGGATGCTAGCTTTGCTTCTTTCCTTTGACCAAATTCAACTCTTCCTTGGTTCAAGATTACCTGCCCCCCAAGGCCAATGGTTATACAAAATTTCATTCTGCCTTTGATCATCAATGGGTTACTTATAGCCTAATGAATAGTTGTTTGGACTGATGGTGATACATCATCATTCCTTCTCAGTAGGAGCTGGCTTCATCATTTCAGTTCTATTGCTTAAATGAGGGGGTAAAATGGATCAATATTGAAGGCCATGATTAGTTTTTCAGAGTCATTTTGTTATAGCAAGCTTATCTATAAAGATGATACTTTAAAAAGTCTTGACCAATTCCTTATGAAAAAAGTTTGCTGATGCTTGATACTCCCAACTTCTATGTGCATAGGAAGTAAGAGCATGGCGCCTTTTACTGCATCATGGAGCACATTTAAAGGGTAAAATTGTTACATTTTTATCTTTGTACTTTCATCGCCTAACACAATGCCTATGAATTTTTTATTAGTAGATATTCCATAAATTTTTATTATTTATTAACCTCTTTGTGCCTCAGTTTCTTTGTATATAAAATAGAAGTAATGATCCTTGTATTTTCTACCTCATAGGGGTAAGGAGAGAAAAGCATTTTGTAAACTTTAAAGTATTATATCAATGTGAGTGTTGTTATTATTATTTGGAGGTCCTGACCTGTCATTTCCTTAATTTACATATTTGATAAATGAAGTGTGTAGTACAGTGTTCCTGAGGCTCCATTTGGTAAATATAATACTTAATAGTCCCTTCTCTAAAATGAAGAACATTTCCTAACATAATGTCTTTGATTTCCCCATTGCATAAGTAAGGAAGTCCTTACCAAAAGCGCAGTGTGACTTTTGTTCTGTTTTGAATTGTTGATTTTCATACTTTAAAATTCACTTAATCCTCATAACCCTCCCTTCAGGGATTCTATAGCAAATTTTATATAAAGTCATTATTATTCAAGAGTAGGACCAATGTTACCTAATCTGTGTGCAACTCTTATGATGTCTGTGTTATTTTTTGGCTCATTCATATATGGCCAAAAATATGGAGGTCAGCATAACCTAGAAATAAAAACATTACTGACAGACAATTCAATTGTTCTATCATTTGGCATTTCCCTTAACACTTTTGCTCTTCTGAGCAGCCAAATCTCTCTTGTTAATAAGTTATCAGTCTAAAGTTGACTTTCAAACTTATCTAAAACCGAATCTTGGGATCCCCTCTTCTTCTCCATCTGCTTTTGCTGAAATCTCACCCATCCTTTAAGATCCAGTTTCAAAGATATCTCTGTGAAGCCTTCCCTGACACCTTACAGCCAATTGCAGATGGGATATATCTCTCTGACTTCCAGTATTCATACCTTTTTTATGTATTTACTGACTCAATTTCACATTGTAGTCCTAGACTTCTCAGCACTCCCAGATGACACAGGCATGAAATTTATCACCCATTTCTATATGTACTTTTCCCTTTCCCTTTCTGGGAGAGGCAAGGCACACTGGGTTTGAACTCAGAGGACAAGGATTCAAATGCTGGTCCTGTCGTATACCAACTGTGTGACCTTGGAAAAGTCACCTCTTAGGATCGGACTTACTTCATTTATTTAGTGAGGGTTTTGGACTGGATGTCCTCTGAGGTCTCTTCTAGCGCCAAGTGTCTTTTCCTATGTGATCTTATGATCTTGAAGGTGGGAAGAAGAGACTATGCACTTTAATAAGGTCTTTTGAACCCTTTACCTGAGACCACTGAAACATTGGAGTGGTACGATTTCAGTTCTGGCTTGGACAAACACTAACTCACAGCTTGGGAGAATAGGCATCAGGTAATTTTTATCAGCAGGGGTTTGAGCTAAAGTCTTACAGTCTTTGCCATCTTCGGCCACAAACATGACATTTTATCTTGTCTGCCATCTCTTTACTGTGAAAACAAGTTCTGAATAATTAGCTGAGCTCATTTTGTTATCTTTTCCAGAGTGGACAATTCTGAAGATCCTGTGTATGAAAGCTTAGAAGAGTTCCATGTTTTTGTCTTAGCGCATATACTAAGAAGACCAATCGTTGTTGTAGCAGATACAATGTTAAGAGACTCAGGTGGAGAAGGTAAGTCTGCCTGGGTGGGTAACATCTATGAAACATTTTCTCCAGGTTTTCTTCTTCCAGTCATTTTTAAGAAAGGTGAGGAAAATTAAAGATTTATATGGAAACTTTTTATAAGATTGTTATAACTATCCTTTGGACTCGAAGGTGACTCTAATTTTATATTTTGGGGTGCTTTTTGCTCAGAAGGATTGGAAAGGGGGAAGGCTGCATTTTGCTCTGACCTCCACCCTAGCTGGATATTCATTAAGAAAGCTTGATTGGAATAGAAATTTATTCTGTGAAAGAGTAGAATAAAAGGGTTAGGAAGAAACCTAGAGAGCTTCTCTTTAAAACCAAACTAGGCTTTCCCTAAAGCATTTCAGACATAGGAGCACCTATTCCACAGGATGCTGCATTATCTGAAATGATTGACAATCTCTTTGGTAGATTATGTTTCAGAAAAAATCATAGGCATAGTAGATTTACTTGTCCCTTGCATCTCACTCTAACTCAGGGGTTTTTAACCTGTGGTCCATAAACCCCCAAACCATGGACAGATTTTAGAAGGTTTATGAAAAATTACATCTTGATTTTAATGTAAATGGATTCCTTTATAATCTTTTGTATTTTATTTTATGCTTAATTCTGGCTTCAGCAGCCTAGTAAAGGGATCCATCTCACACACACACACACACACACACACACACACACACACACACGCATATTAAGAATCTCGGCTGTAACTATGAGATGAGTGAGCTGTCTGAAGCATCAAAAGGAAGGATAGGGTGATAGGGTTATCCTTGTGGGCAAGTTTGAGTGGTAAAATAAGGATTAGACCTCAAAGTCCCTGAAATTTTATTCTTAGTCCAGAGATCCAAAGTGGCCTAGTGGATAGAGATCCAACCTTGATTTAATAACTTAGAAGTTGAAACACCTTAGGTGATTGCTTCAGAATCAATAGGAGAGGTACTCAAGTAAATGAAGATGAAATGGAAGCTGGAGAAACAATGATCCTGTTTTCATAAAAACACCTTTAATAAAAAAGAGGGAAAATACTGACAAGAAAATTGGAAGATTGGTCTTCTGTGTGTTCCACAAATGTTTTTCTACATGACATCACTGGATTTTATTGTTGAAAGTAGCAATATGCCTTTTTACCCTTTTGATCATCTCATGCAATTTTGATCATGGCAGACCCATTCTTAAAAGAGTCTGAGGGACAGGGACTAGTCCTGAAGTGCATATATACTCTCTCCCTCCACTCTTTTAAATCAGACCAGGATGTCACAGAGATGCAACATGTGCCCTGAAGTATGTGGGGAAGATGATAGGAAAGGAAGGGAGGGTGTTCATGGACCAATGTGATTTGCGTGAACTCCAGATCTTTTTAGCATCAGTTGTCAAAGCCACCTCCTTATCTATTTGTCCCTCCTCCTCAGAGTTGGCAACTTTCTCTGAGTCACTTCACACCTCTCCATGTGAGGGACCCCCAAAGCACTTGTTCCAATTTACCTCCTACTATACCTTGACGAATCATAATTGCAGGGCAAGTGTAGAAAACATTAGAAAAGTTAACTCCCTGGCAACCCTCCTCACCAAATCCTTCTACTTTCATGTTCCTACTAGGCTGTAGACTCCTTGAGAGATGATGTGGTTTTTATATTTATATCTCTAATACCCAGATACTTGGTATATATGGCTAGAAGTGGTGGGGGGAGGTTTGACCTGTGATTTCTCTTGTCAGGGGAATGCTTGATGTGGAAGCTCCCTAAACTGAATACAGAGCAAGAGTTCATCTATTTCTTACCACTTAAAGGAGTTATCTGAGGGCACTGAGCACTCCTGGTCATGTCTGCCAGCATGCATCAGGGGAGGATTTGAACCTTGCAAACTGGCCTTCTACATACATCAGCTGGCTTTCTAGCAGATGCTTAATAGAAGTTTATTAAGTGGAATTGAATTTCCTAAATCATATTTGTCTTCACACAGCATTTGCTCCGATTCCATTTGGAGGAATCTACTTGCCTCTGGAAGTTCCACCTAACAGATGTCACTGCTCCCCTTTGGTCCTAGCCTATGATCAAGCCCATTTCTCTGCCCTTGTGTCCATGGAACAAAAAGATCAACAAAGAGAGCAAGGTAGGCTTAGAGGGAGATTGGAAAGGGGAATGTGGCAACCCAGGAGGAAGACCAAAGTAGCTTTTATGAATTTAACAGAAAAGTCTGCCTTTTTCCATTTAAAGAAACTTAGGAAAATTTCCTTTCAACCTGTGTGAGTATATTAACATGATAAAGGTATCTGTATTATCAAGGCATATGTGTATGTATCTGTCTCTTGGTATATGTCTGTTATTTCATCAGCGTCAGAAATTATCTCCACGGCTACAGAATACCAACTTACCTATAACTTATCATCTGATATTATTGACTCTCAGAAGACAGAGATTGAGTGATTTTCCCAGCTTTACACAGCTAGTATATAGCCATAAAAGGCAAGAATGAGAGGAATAAAGGAATAAGCATTTGTTAAGTCACCTGCTACGTGCTAGACACTATGCTAAATGCTTTACATACACATACAGACACACACACACATATATACATACATAATTTGATCCTCTCAACAACCCTGGGAGGTAATTGCTATTATTATCCCCATTTTACAGTTAATGAAACTGAGACAGATGTTAAGTGACCAAAGTCACAAAGCCAGACTGGATTTATACCCAGGTCTTCCTGTGTACATGTTATCTATGTATGTATTTAAAGTGTTTTAAATAAGAAGGTAGACATTTTCATTAAAATTCTCACATCCAAGTTTCCAATAAATCGCTCTTTCTCTACTGAAGAATAGTACTTTAAGCAAGTTTAACCTGTTGTTAAAAAGCAGAATTTTAGGGGCTTTTTTAAGTATTTGTGGCTTTTTAAAAAATCTGCTTTTCTTATGTCAGTGACTTTGTGAAGGGAACCCAGCTCCAGAGTGCTACAGCCTGTGTCTATGGGTGGTGCAAACAAGTCCCATTGGTGATTAAACTGTGATCAAAGTCAGATCAATATTGCATCCAAGATCCCTGCTACCAAGTTTCTCTTAGGGAAATTGCTGACAACACATAAAGAGTGTTCTGGAACATGAAGCTAAGGCATCTAAAATGTTGACGTCTTATTTTGGTCATGTAAACACAGCAAGAAATTTGTTACCAGAGAAGCTTTTTAAAAAAATGCAGCCGTAGATAAAACGAGGCCCCTGGCTCCAGACATGTTTTACTGTGAAAAAATAGAACCGGCTCATTTCTGCTTTCATGTTCTTTTTTTGTTTGTTTATTTGAGGCAGGAGGTGATCCATTACCAGAAACAGGGGAAAGGTAAATGGTTAAAACTTCATCACGTTTAACTTTCCCAGGTGTTTGCAGAGACCCAAAATAGAAACTAGGGAAAGATAACACATCTTGGTGTGGGCCAGGTGATGTGAGTCAGAGAGGAAATTAAGACAAAATTCTGTGAAACCAGCTGTTATGGAAATATAAAGTTGTTTTTCTACACTATTTCCAGACATATCACTTTTGCAGCAGAAAAATATTTAACCAATTAGAAGTGAAAGGCTTTCTTGGCTTTCTCTGCTGTGTCTCAGCCAGGGGTGCAGTAGTCACCATTGCCATTTTTAATAATAGTAACTGACATTTATATAGCACCTTCAGTTCCACAAAAAGGTTTTTACATAGATTATCTCATTTGATTTAACACCGCAGCCCTATGCAGTAAGTACTACAAGGCTATTATTTATTCCTCACTTTACAGATGAGGAAATGGAGTTCTCAGGTTCTGTCACTTGCTTAGGGTCTCACAATGAATAAAATGTCAGTGGTAGGATTTCCACTCACATCTTTTCTGACTCCAACCAAGTCCAGCTCTCTTAATGTGCTGATGTCACACCAGCTATCATCCAGACTTGATGTGTGTGCTCATGAGATGTGACAGAAATTTTAATTAGGACTTTGGACTGGGATCAAGAGCCTGGTTTCTATTTCTCTTGATGTCTCAGCAGTTCCATAATTGAGCAGAAAGTACCTTCTTTCATAGGGCTGCTAGGTAGCACAGAAGATAGAGGACCAGACTTGGAATCAGGAAGACCCATCTTCCTAAGTTCAAATCTGGCCTCAGACACATATTAGCTGTGTGCCCTGGGCAAGTCACTTAAATCTATTTGCCTCAGTTTACTCATCTGTAAAATGAGCTGGAGAAGGAAACAGCAAACCACTCTAGTAACTTTTCCAAGAAAACTCAAATGGGGTCACGAAAAGTCTGACATGACTGAAATGACTCAACATCAAACTTCTTCCAAAGAGGCTGGTGAAGTCAACCATTTTTGTATGTTCAGAAGTCGCTGCTTTTTATTCTCAAGTACAGTAAGAGTGTGTCCTCTAACAAATGCAAAAATCTGAAGGGATGGCACCCCTGGATGATTTCTATTGTGGCTAAAATACCTAAAGATATAGAAGAGAGAGTGCTAGATCAGGAATTAAAGGGCCAAGGGATCTGGGTTTGAATCCTGGGTGATTTTGGATAGTCAACCAATCAGAATCATTTGTTAAGGGCCACTTTGATCAGGCACTGTCTAGATCCTGGGGACACCAGTATAAAAATGAATCAATCCCTGACCTCAGGGATCCTGCCTTCTAACAGGGTAGGTGAAGGAGGGAGGGAATAAGCATTTAAATAGCATCTACTGTGTACCAGATACTGTACCACGAGTTTTACAAGCATCGTCATATTCCAAAAGTCTTAGAGCAGTTTTAAGCTTTACTTAACACCCTATAAAAGCATATACAAACAAAAGATATTTATGATTTTTTCAGAGGATGTGGTTGGGGAAGTAGGTGAGGAAGGTATAGCTTGTCTGGACCTTAGAGTACATGCAGGAGAATAATGTATAAGTCTGGAAGTTAGATTGCTGCCAGGTTGTGGAAGACTTTAAATGACAAATCAGAGGAGAATTTGACCATGGGGCAAGGGTTGGTAATTTTTTGTGTGTCCTGGACCCCTTGGGCAGTCTGGTAAAGCCTGTAGACCCCTTCTCAGAATAATATTTTAAAATCATAAAATAAAAAAATGCATAGAATTACAAAGGAGACCAATTATATTGAAATAATAGCCAAGCATTTTAAAGAACAAATTCACATTAAGAACAAATTCATAGGCCTTAGGTTAAGATCATCTGCCGTAGGTAAGTTATATAACCTCTAGGCATCCGTTTCTGCATCTAGAGAATGAGAGGGTTGGACCCAATTATTTCTAAGATCAGTTCCAGCCCTGTTTCTACATCTATATTTATCTATGGTCCCTTTTATTAGCATGCTATAATTGATTTCATTTTGTTGTAAAATTCCCTATTAAGCACAGAAATACTTACTTTACATTAAGTGTACCCAGTGGCTGGAAGCAGAACATTCATTTAGATCCTACCTCTTTATCAATAGTTTCTTACCCTTCAGTATATGGAAGGAAACATTTTCCTCTGTTCCCTTCCCACTGCTGTCTTCTGATTATCTGCACATTCTTGTTCACTCAAGCTTGCTCTGGAAACTATACAAGAAGCGTTCAGTGAGTGGATACTATAGACATGTGCATCAAACTGTTCATGGCCCTGAGGATGGCAGGGGGGAAAAGGGGGCTTTATCAACAATCCAGGGCCAGCTAACTGAGCTGCTATTATTATCATAGAAAACAAAGCCCAGGCACCATCTCAGTGATTGATTCTCTGCAATGATAACTCATTTTTCCTTGAAGGGTTTCCTAATCAATGTGGTGACTCCCTTGGGGTACAGTGGAAAGACTGCTGAATTCACAGAGAGCCTAGTTTAAAATTCCTACTCTGCCACTGCAATTTTGGAAAAATCTCCTCCCTTCTCTGGGCCTCAATTTCCTCATCTGTAAAATGAGGTGGAGTTGGACTAGCTGACCTCAGAAGTCCCATCAAGCTCTAAACTCATGATCTATTATCCTGGCCATCACCAAATGGATTATTGGAATATTGATCACACTTCTAACCATCAAATTTCTATCAAGAGGTTTTCCATTTCCTCCATTCTCTCTTTTGCTGCTTGTGAGCATGGAAGGGCCTCTCCCAATGTTGTTTGAAAGCTACCATGGAACTCTGGCATGGAAAGTAAAACGGGCAGTAAATGTCATCCATTGTGGGTTCCCCAAGTCTAGGAGGACAAAACAAAATCGAGTTTGCATTCAGGCAGGACCAGCTTGTGTAGCCAGAAATGACTTTTATGTCCCTGATTTACTTGTGTGGTTAAGGAGTGTATTCCTTGGTGAAGAGGCTACCCCTAATAGAGCAATGAAAAATTCATTCCTTCTTATTCTTTGAGGTAGCAAGTGAGTCCTCTAATATACAGTATAATATAGCATAATAGTATAGTAATATACTATAATATAATATTATACTATATAATACTATGATATAATAATTTACATAGGGCTATGAGGTTTGCAAAGCGCTTCATACATATTATCTCATTTGACCCTTACAACTCTGGAAGTTAAATGTTACTATCCCCATTTTACAGATGAGGAAACTGAGGCACAGTAGTTAAAGGACTTGCCCAGGGTCACATGTGTAGGAAGTGTCTGAGACCAGATGTGAACTCAAGCCTTCCTGACCCCAGGCCCAGCACTCTCATCCCTTGAACCTTTCAAGAGGAAGTTGCTGAAGCAAACCAGTTCTGAGGAGGTTTAGAAGGAGTGCATATACAGAAAGTTTGCTTCCATTTCTCTACCTTGATAAATAAAAGCTCCTGGTTCTGTAATAGGAGGGGGAAGAAGCAGAAAAGGGTCATGAAATAAAACCCTGACAGCAGTGAGAATTTGTTTTCAATCTGTCTGGGAAGTTGCCATTCATTCCTTCCTATTAAACAGAAGGTGAGAGGATTCTGTCTGAAGTTCTCCCCTCCCTTCAACCAGAGAGGTTTGATGTTCTTTGAAGATCAGTGACTGGGAAAGAAAAGAAAGTTGAGATATGAACTCCTTAGTTTCTAGACCTTTCCTAGGAAATAAGCAACTGTCATCCTGACATCATGAGGTTTGGTTGATTATTCTTCAAAGCCATTATTCATGAATTTTTCAATTCAAAGGCA